GACGCGCTCCACTTCAACCTTTACACTCCTCGTTTCGTTCGCGGAGTCGGGGCCGACAAGGTCGGGCTGTGCCCGATATGTATAGAGCCCGTGTGGCGCGGTGGAGAGGACAAGGCAATAGTCCTTGGTACAAAAGTGAGTTGTAGAGCCGAGACGGGCCAGTAGACGCTGACGTTTCTGCGGATGCTTAGATATCCGCTTTTAGTAAGTAGCATACAACCCGGTTCTCGGCGGACCAACTAACGCATAAATAGACTATCACATGCAGTATTATCATGGTACGTACGAACCACAAACGATCATTAGCAGTGTTAACGAATGGTTCAGGCCTCTGCTCGCAAACCGGACTGCCATTTTCGCCTCCAATAGCTTTTCGGCACCAGGCTCGCAAACCCGCACAGGGTAACGAACGGAGCAGGATCGAACAGGGGAAATGTCACTCGTGCAAACGATGGGTTAATGTTGAGGGTGTCAAGGATGGGGACGTCTTGGTACGCAGATTGACCTTGCACGATGGTGGAGTGACTAACGTGATTCAAATCAAAGGTACCTGAACTCCACTGGTATGGATTTTCTGGATGTTTATTCATAGCTCACTCAACAGAATGCGTCGTGTAGGTGGAAACATGCGGCATCGTGCCATGGTAAAAGTCGGGTTGAAGGCGACCAAAATCCCTACCTCGAAGATACTGTGTACCTGCGATTGAGGGAGTATGAATCGAAGGTCGCGTCCGAGGCTGGAGACGACCAATGCGAACATGCTGTGGTATCGGCTGGTCAGGAGCAAGCTAGCGCAGGCACGGCCTCCACCACGGCTTCCGCATCACTCGACAAAGAAAATTACAATGTGGGCTCGGGAAGCTCGCTATCAAGTATGGATGAGAAAAAGCTACTGGAGAGCGGAGGTGTACTAGGAAATCTTTTCGGAACTATGGACTCGGATTCTGATCTCACGGACTTGGACGAGTAACTCATGGATGTGGGTGTATCTAAGGGAGACGTTCAAATGCATCTATGACTTAATCTGCTATTAACCCTGCGTACACCCCCAAGATTCAAATAAGCTTTAGCTTTGTCTGTTTCAGGGGCCGAATGCTCGTGGCGCGCCACGAGTGCGCCACGGCGCTTAACATTTGATAGATTGGAAATTGCTTTTCACAGGGCGAAAATCTTCCATTGCGCATCGCATTTATCCACCCGCAACTCGCAAAGCACGTTCAACCGATGATAGAGTAAAACAGTAAAACATATTCTGAGCACGGCCAGGATCGAACTGACGAACTTTGGTTGTGATTTTATATCGAAGACCAACGTGGTAACCACTCCACTACGTGCCCTAGAAATAAACGACTCTCATGCCGGTAACGATCCGGCGGGATCATCACTACTGTAAGCGCCCTTACCGCGAAGGTTTCGTGTGCCTTACTTTCGGCCACTCTTCGTTCCCACCATTGAAGTTGTATCCTGCGCATGACTCGCTTTCTCATTGCAGGTCTAGGCAACTACACTTATCCAAACACCAGACATAGGTTTAACCAAATCCTGACCGGCTGGTTGCTTTCGACTAACTCTCTCACGAACCAGCGTTGGACAACTAGTTTTAGAGTCTCTTGCGGCACGATGGAATATACAATTCAAGTATGAGAAAACTCATCAAGCCTGGCTCGGACGAAAAAGTGTAGACATGGGCAGTAAAGCTCCTGTAGACTTGGCACTCGTAAAGCCAAGTATGTCTCATCATGATCCTTTCTTCGCGCTCGATATGACAGGTTTCTGTTCCAGAACTACTCATGAACATATCAGGACCGGCCATAACCTCCGTCTTGCGAACATTTCCTAACGAAATACGGTCACCTCGCCGGCTCATCGTCCTACAGGACTCTCTATCCCACTCGCCTCTCGCCATATCGCCTAAATTCAGCGGCTCTGCAAACGGACACAATGGCGTGCGGAGTGTGATATCCTCTCTTGGGGCAATCGCTTCACAATTCCCAACTCCCCGACCTGCAAACGAAGAGTTTTATCGTATCCGACTTGGTATTGGTCGACCATCCCACAGGGACGCGGACGTGGCCGCATTCGTACTTGATTCGTTGAGCAGAGAAGAGTTGGACTGGTGGTCATATGGCGGTGAGGGGCTTAACAAGGTTGTCAAGGCGTTAGAGGACATCATGAGGAAGGAGGGTACGCTGTAGCTATTCCATTTACCGCATTAAATTATGGTATGCATATCTCATCGCTACTCCAACCTCGTCTGAGCGTATTTCCACCAGAAAAGGTCCCGGACATTTAGTTTGCGCCACACAGCCTGCTAGTCTAGAGTTATTTTCTTAAATTAGAAGCGTCCGACAGCGAGAACCAAGGAAAGGGCGCTGGCAGGGGCGACAAGGGAGTAGCAAAACTAATGTTGGAATGTGCACTCGCACAGACAGGGGCCAGGGGGTTCGGGACCAACCGGGATGGACTCGACCAAGGATAAATGAAACCCAAAACAAGCAAAAAGGGAGTGCCGGATTCACGGGACAGGGGCCAATAGGGGTATCCCAAACAACGGCAACCAACGGGAGGTCACGCTGGGGTACCCAAGTCTAGACCCTATCCTTCAAAGGATCTGCCCAGTAAATTGAGCGCTGGGTCCTAATGGTCGATACCAGCCAACGCGCCGACACCCAGCTCCTTGCTTTCATTTTTTGTACCGCCGTATATCCTTGGTGCTAAATAACTGGTCGACTCGAAGCAATATGCGTTAATAAATCGGCTACGTTATATAAGAATCGTGTATGACATTGGGTATATGGTATCGCAACTTTGCAGTAAATCGACCCACTCTTCAGGCTAGGCTAGCCACCTCATTGAATGTTAGCTCCTATCCCCCGGTCGACTAAACAACCAAACAAGCGCAAGTCAGCCCTCTTGGTCATCTCGAATGAGAATCACGAGTTACATACCCACAACATAAGCACGCCGTAATACAATCACCAATTGCAGCAAAACAATGCGCAATCGCTAAGAAACCTGAGTTTCAGAACTTTTGTCCGATACGTGGGGACTTACAGGAGACTATAGCTTCAATGCATCCTGCTATACACGCAATGCAATCAATAATAAGGCCGCCGATGCAGTTTATGATGCCCGAAATACAGGAGCATATGCACCTGACGACAGCCCACTGTGTAAGTGCTAAAACCTGTAGATGAATCGTGTACGAACCCCATTTCGTGCGGCGGCTGTCTTCTTGGCGGGAGCAGGGTCTCATGGTGTCACGACGGTGCCACGACGTACTTATATATGCTCCCATCTGGATGGTGACGTCGACCCATTAGTAGACTATATGCGCCCGGCTCCACCCCATGACGCAAAGCCAAACCACTCCAAAAAATGCCCGCACCAAACCCGCAATAGAAGAAAAGTGTGATATATTTAGCATATCCTATCCAAAAAACAGACAAATCCACCGAGAAAAAACTAATCGCACAAACAGCAAAGCACATAGATTACATCAAGCACGCGCAACAAACTCGTCGTGCTTTCCCTCGAGCTTCTCATCCGAAGGAGTGCTCGGGGCAACATCGTGAGCCACACGCTGCTCGAGCTCCTTGAGCGCCTCCTCGCCATCGAACAACGCAGCAGTCTCCTCGAGCGAACGACCCTTGGTCTCGACAGCGTACAGGTAGATAAAGCCGAGCTCAAACACGAGCCACGCGACGTAGACGATGTAGTACTTCCAGTGGAGTGCGTCGAGAGCGATCGGGTTGACGTACTGGTTGAAGACGAGGGAAGCAGTGACTGAAACGTTCATGACTGCGAACATCTTGGCGCGGATACGGTAAGGAGTGATCTCGACCGTGTAGGAAACAAGGAGAGGAGTGTAGGCAATGTCGTAGAACCCGTTGAAAATGAACACGGCGGCCATGACGAGGTTGGCGGCGCTGCGGTTGCTTGGGTTGTTGGCGTTGACACCCGCGCCGACGGTCCAGAGGATGTAGGCGAAAAGCATGCCGGCGTTGGAGGTCAAGAAAAGCTTGCGACGGCCAATTTTCTCGACGTAGAGAGCGGCGACGATGGCGATGGCGACTGGAAATCGAGATTAAAAGTCTGAAACGGCAACCGAACAAAAGCAACTTACAGTTGTAAACAGCAAGCCCCAAGTTGAAGTACTGGACCTGTGCCTTGTCGGTGACACCGATACCAATTTGCTCCAAGACAACGTTAAGGTAGTACGAGGCAATACCGTTACCGGACCACTGGGAGAAGAAGGCAATGGCAACAACGATGCGGAGACGGCGACGGTTTCCGGGAGTCATGAAGAGCGACAAGTAGCTGGCGCTGGACGAAGCCTCGACTTCAATGCGGAGCGCCTCTTTGATTTCCTCCTTTTCAAACTGGACGAGCTCGTCGTTCTCGTCGCCGCGGCGGAGAGCGTGGTACTTGGCGAGCACGCGAACGGCCTCGTCTTCGCGGCCCTGGGCCATGAGCCAGCGGGGCGACTCGGGCAGGAACTACCGAAGGGATGAGACGCATTCCATAGATAAGCAAGAAAGTGCTTACCCAAACGACGATCATCTGGAGCACAGGGACGATGGCCATCATAGCCGAGGGGATGCGCCAGGAAGCACCACCGTTGATGCGGAAGGTACCAAGAGTCGTAGCGGCAGCAATGATCGCACCGGTGAACCACATGGTGTTGTAGAGAGAAGAGAGCTTGGCACGCTGGCTCGGGTACGCAAGCTCGACAATGAGCAGAGCCGAGGCAAGATGGGCAAAAGAGACGCCAAAACCGACTGTACCAAATTAGCGCCATGCTTTGCCGGTAGTGCAATCAAACTTACTGAGACCACGGCCGGCAATGAACATGCCGTTGTTTTGGGCGCCCGCCTGGAGACCCGTAGCGAGGAACATGCACAGGCAGCCAAGGATGATACCAGTGCGACGACCAAAGTGATCCGAGATGTATGGCGCAAAGGGGATGGCGGCGAGAGAGCCAATGTTCTGGATGGCGTTGTACAAGCCAAGAGTGGCACCCTTGGGCTCTCCAAAGTATGCGACCCAGTTGGGAACAGCCTGCAGACCGTCTAGTGACTTGTCAACGGGCTGAAATGAGGCGCTAGAAGAACCGACTCACTCATCATCGAACCGTCGAATCCGTTGGTGCTCGAGGTGAGGAGAATGAACAGCAACATCGAGTTGAGGGCCAGAATGCCGCTATGGTTCCACCATTTTCCTATGCGACAATGTCAGACTCAAGTCGAGCAAAAGTGCTGAAAACCGACCTTGGTAGAGGAGATGGGCTGCTGGGCCGTCTGAGGCGGTGACTGCTGCTGGGCCTGCCATTGCTCTGTACTGGGAGAGAGAAGCCGATAGCGGGGTGAGGAGAATGCTTGCCGGAGCCCCACATCTTATAGTCGACAGTTCTTGTCGGCAAAATATCGACAACCGCGCCAGACCCTCTCAAGAGGGCCTTGCTCCATTTAGATCGTTTCTCCGGGAGGCAAGGTCCCCCGGACAGTCTCCCTCCCTCACTGTGGCCCCGGGGCCCGTGACTCCGGCATCAATACTGGATACCCCATGGGGAAACTGGAGGATATACGTTTACCCTGCTACGATCTATGACACTTTTTTCCAAAAATATTTCAGTCACGTCGAGCAACAACGACAGCTACAACACTCGCAGCTGCGGGAAGGACTTGCGGGGTCCCCGGCGGGAAGTAGTCGGTGAGGGTCGCATGCGAACGTCTCGAGGCTAGCCGCAGTTGGCAGCGACATGGCTTGTTCCTAGCCTCGTGTCTTCCGATGATCTCGCGAATCATGCCTGGGCAGTGGTACCTCGTCGCTACTCGCGAAATCTAACTGTAAACTACCCGCCTGTCAGTTGCATCTATGCTTCAGCCTGGTCAGGTGGCGGCGCACATCTGGGATAGATTGGCCATCTGACTCGTCTCCACCGTCGTCGCGTCGCAGCCACTGATTCGCTTCCAACGCAACAGTGTACATCTCCAACAAGCCAATCGTTTTTGGCTTGACATCTGCCAGTTCAGCTCCTCAGGCGGACCTTCCCGGCACAGGGCTATCTCCACATCACGTTCCCGATGATCGACTCGTGGTCTTCATTGAAGATCTGTACCCACAGCTCCGTGTGGATCGCGCCTGTAGCCTCTACGCGTCCAGGTTCTCAGTCCAGGTCATCGGCTATACTATCAAGCGAACACGAAACCAGCGCATACACCACCAAGGTCTCGATTGTGCCCGACCAAAAACACCCGGTTCAGATCGCATACAGCGACCCCCCGACGCTCGGCAATAGCTCGGAGCTCATATCTGCCAAGTACGCGCCATACAA